GGATTTGAAAAATGGATTTTTGGAGGGCACAGAACATGCCAGGTCAGAGCAAGGCCGTAACTACTTTTCTCACTAGATTATGTACATATAAAACACCACAGAATATCACATTTAAAGAGGCACTAGAAAAATGAAAGGAGGCGAGTGAATTGGTAAAGAACAGAGAACTCTTAACACGTGAAAAATTGGAGAAACCAGAGTTAGAAGAGAACACTGCTGAGGTTAGAGCTATAACCACCAATGTGAAGAGAAGTAGATTTATGGGAAATAAAGGGACACAAACTTTCTGGTCATCAGAACTTTCCTCAAGTAGAATGGACTGCCTTCTAATGTGTATACTAGCCAGTCAAGGGAAAGGTCAAAGCTGAAATTGGAAGACAATCTCCTAAGAACATGACAGAGGTGAGGCATGAATTGTGTAGATAACTGAACTAGATGGCTCAAAGTGTGTTCCAATCAGAGATTTTATAATCTCTTCTGTAATTAGAAACTCATTATCTTTGAGTAATTTCCTCAAGATGAGTCACAATAAAGGATATAAGTATACTTACAGGATATTACATACCACTGGTCTTCTTCCCTCTAAAATTTCCATGTACCAGTACTGGTATATTAGGTGTATTTCTCAAAGAGTAAATGCATGCAATCTAGATTTCTTAAAAATTCTCGTGTCAAAAGATCAAATTCAGATTTCAGTTCTTTCACTTAACTATAAAGCCTTGGATAGGTTACAATTTCTCTAGATCTCAGAGGAGCTCAGATTTTGGTCAATATTCCCTACCTCTCCCAGCATTTAAAAAACAAACAAACAAAAAATTGTTGGTGGTTTGGAGAGTCACAATGACTGGGTGGCTCTATAGCGTTTAGTGAGCCAGGGATATTGAATGTTCTGTAGTGCCCAGTATACTAGCATTCTCCCCGCTGAGAAATGCTGATTAGAGGAATTATAATAATACAGTCCACAATCAAATACTGACAACCTATGATCACCAGTAGCAATTTAAGAGTTGGTAAAGAAACAAAAAGCAAAAAAAACCATTTTTAATGCCTGGATGTCAAGAGACTTGCTTTGATAAAACTCAAGTCATTAGATGTTGACATTCTATCTACCCAAGACTTCATTAATGAAGTTACAGATTTAGTTTCTACAGCCTTCAGTGTTTTTTCCTCCATCACTAATAGGACAGATACTCAGGTATTTAGTTGGTCATTAGGTGCATTTTCATTAAAAGAAAAATATTATAATAGCTATCAGAAATACCTGGTCTTAAAAAGAGAAAAGGTTAATGATTCTCAAGAGTTAAATTTTTAAACAGATATTTGGATTTCACTTATTCTTTTAATTTTATTTAATAAAGTACTTTATATACACACATACACACACTTGTATGCACGCATGTATAACAAGTTTTGGGAAATGTTGAAACAAAGAACCAAAATCAACACCTGAATTTTAATTACCTTTCACATTTCCATGCAGAGAATTTCTGTGCACAAAATTATAGTTAGGAATTAAAGGATATTCTGTTTTTGCCATGCTAAATTAATCATTTCTTCCTTTAAAACTCAAAGGCATAATTTCCCCCCCAAATCTCTGGCTATAATATGAGGATATTTCAAAAAGTTTGAGAAAAAATAGAATTAGAAGATAATACGAATCTTTCTATGAACTTTCTGAAGACCCTTGTATTTTGTTTACACCAAACATTTTTATCTCAGTCGTGCGATCAGCACTTGCTTCCAAAAACACAGATTCTAACACTATTTTTTTTTCCCCCTTTTTGTCTTTTTTTCGTGACCGGCAACGGATCGCAACCCTCAGTGTCGCACCCGTACCGGACCGGGACCAGCTACGGGATCGCAACCCTCGGTGTTGCTCCCGCACCTCGCTCAGCCAGTGAGTGGCCGGTCTGTATGTGGGATCCGAACCCTCGGCGGGAGCGCCACCGCACTTCCCAAGCGGCGCACTGTAGCAGTGCGCCACCGGGCCGGCCCACTAACACTATTTTAATACATCTTTTTATATAAACAATAGGGACAATAACATTAAATAAAAGATCAGTTCATTGACTGTTAGTTTTAGAGTAGATCTTTTTTTTCATTCTGAAGAACAGGAATTACACAAAATCTCCAGGAAAAAGAGTTTCTTATGTGTTTATATAAAATAACTTAATGGCCTGCATAATTTCGAAGGATCCATTTTCTTTAATACTGAGTAAAAACAAGGGCCAGCCTGTGGCTCACTCGGGAGAGTGTGGTGCTGTTAACACCAAAGCCACGGGTTCGGATCCCATATAGGGATGGCCGGTTTGCTCACTGGGTGAGCGTGGTGCTGACAACACCAAGTCAAGGGTTAAGATCCCCTTACCGGTCATCTTTAAAAAAAAAAAAAAAAATACTGAGTAAAAACATTCTTAATATGATTACTTAAACAAACAAAAGAAAAAAACCTCTTTTTTCAAAACTCAATAAATATCAGTGCATCCTATTGCCATTTGATGTCACATCATGATGTTATGAATTACTAATATTCTCTAAAATAGTATAAATATAAGATATTTAGTTTTAAATGTTAAAGAATAAGAAAATCAGATAAAAAAAACAGCCAATTACAGCAAATTACTATTTAATTTCCTAAAATTACATAGATAACTTATTAACTTCATGTGGGATGTGAATGAAGACTGATAAATTATTCTAAATATAATTTATCTCAAAGCACATGAGAAAGAATAGAAATATAAAAGGTGTTGCTCCTACAGAGGTGTAATTTCCATTCTAAGATGCCAAAAGACACACGTCTACTAGACTTAAGCTAAAATTTTATAAATACTTTTAATACAGATTTGGAGAATATAGAAAAGCAAACTCCACAACAATGAAAGCAATAACCTATACCATTTGTTTGTGTTTGCATGGCTCAAAGGGTCAGAAATAAGAGGATAGTTTATATTTCTTTGCCAAAGATAAAACATAATCCATTCTACAGAACTTCAGATTTCAAGGAAAACTTCAAATCCAGCAGCTAACAGCTTGTCTCTATTTGCTGTCACTCTAGATCAGAGAAACCCACACATTTTTTTTCTTTCCTGCTCCCCTTCAGTTACACTTGAGCTCTCTGACTGAAAAGGTCTGGAACAGATTAAAAGTCGGGCCACAAAATAAAAAGCTTTGGCATGTTGTCAAGACTGTCTGGGATACACATACAGAGTGGGCCCAAAAAGGGAAACTAAATGCAATATGAGAAATTAATAAAACTTTTTTTTGGGGGGGGGGCATATCTAATTGTATGCTGTGTATACATATATGTTGGAGGTAGGGAGGGGGTATTTTTTTTTTTTCAGTACCTTCCCCTTCTTAAAACAAAAGACCAAGCTGTGTGTGTAATCAACAGATCTACCTAAGCTCACATTAAGTTGTTTTACTTCACTGTTTTAACTAAAAATACTTATTAAAAAAATAAATAAAAATCTTTGTTCTAATTCCTGATCTCTGCAGTCAGTTGAGAGTTGATCATCATCTTTCATAACCTTAGATTGGGGGGGAAAAAACCCACAGCACCATTCTTTAAAATTTCCGAAATGTGGACAAGTTGAAATCATTTCATTAAAGATGATTTAAGGAAACATGGCTGCTATTGTTCCAGTCCATACAAGTGGCAACATTTATTAAATTCTCTACCTTACTTGGCTTCCTGTTTCAACGACACGGGCTTATTCAAATATTAAACAGAATCTGAAGTTGCAAATTATTAACACACTCCATCACTTTTTTAACACCCAAGCAGGTCTTGGAGTGCAAAAGGCCAGCATTTAAGCCAAACCAGATATCTGTCAAAATGACAGTCTCTGCCACCTTTGACTTTACTTGAATGGGGGTTCAGTCAGTCTATAAAGCTGACCTGTCGGTTTGGGACAAACCAGAATATTGTTTGTTTTAAGGTATAAGACACAGGAGAACTGTTCATAATGTCCCTAATAGGGAAGTTATTTTACCCAACCAGCTCCAGGACAGAGTTTTTCTTTTTCTTTCTTCCCCCAGGGTTGTGTTTTGATGGCATTCACAGAGTTAATTCCTCTTTCCCGTAAGGGCCCCGCAGTTGTTGTTAGGTCAACCCCTGTAAAGCTTCAAAGGTTCCCAGTCCCCTCAGTATGACCTACTCGGTGATCTGCACATTGTTTTCATTTAGCTGCATCTAGTCCAAGACCAAAGCTTCAAAACCACAATTATCTGCTCCTTTTTAGATTCATTTTCCATGGCTTTGGAAAAATATCTCAGAAACCTAACTGAAGAAACTGAAAACAGTAAAAAAAAAAAAAAAAGGCTAGAAACACAGCGAAGAACTTGTACACCCTTATCAAAATGTGCATATTTGGGAGTGGAGGGCTCCTTTGTGCAAATGGCAATTATTTACATAATTTGGAGGGGAATATGGCTTGTTTTTTGTTTCCTAAATGAAAAACAAAGACAAGGGCCTTTACTTTTAAAAGAAAAAAAGCCAAAAGAAAGGGAAAATACTTTCATTGGACCATTTCTAGGGTGACGGGTTCCACCCACCAAGAGGACATCTAGGAACGGCATAGTACTCACCACTCTCAGTAGGTAAACAAATGCAGACACCAGGTCACTGAGAAAAGCTGGTATTTCCATGTTTTAGATATCGCATGACAGTCTGATTATTACAGCTAGAAAGATTGTTTTAAGCAAGATCACTATGTCTCCCCCAAAATATGAAAGACACAGTGTTTCTGGTTAGTCAGCCACTACGACATACCCCAACCTGAGGAGCCCAGGCTAAAAATCTGATTAAGACTTAAATTTGTCAAATTTAAAATGAGAGGTATGATAGGAATAAAAATAGTACTGGAAGAAGTTGGGTGGGCAGAGTCACTTTTTAATACTACAAAGCAATGCAATTTTATTTAAATGTGCTTTCCCAAATTCACATACAAAAAATAGTAATCAAAAATATCTAAAAAGGTTTTGAGATGAACCTTTACCAAAACGAGGGTCAAGCCTTGGGTCTAGCCAAGAGGTGGTCTTGTTCTTATGGTTTATATAGTAAATTTCTCCATCCTGAGTCATGGCTTGTTCCCATCCATCAGGAAGAGGACCTATAATACAGAAAAAAAATCATGGTTGGTTTTTATTTGGTGCACCTAAAAAAAAGTAGGGGGGAGGATGCTAATTTAAAAAGAAAACACATCTTGACATTAAACAATTCATTAAACAGATTTAAGACTGTGTTCAGAGAAGAAAGGTAAACCTATATACCTGAATCTTCTCCACTAAAAAGAAACCACCAAATAATAAAATGAACATCCCCAAAGACACAGATGGACAAAAAAGTCAGATTTAAAAAAAAATCCTTTTGGAAGTCATGACCCAAATAATTATTACTCTTAATACAAGACATGGAAGTGCTTGCAGATCAGGGACTATCCCCCAGTCTAATCAGTTTTGTGACAGTACCTTTCTAGGGACACCAAGGCTCTTTAACCAAAATACATCCAAGTGTTTCCAGAACACCTAAACATTCTATTTAATGTAAAGCATACTTTAGCTAAGCCAAGCTCCATTTATTTCCATTATTTTTTTTCTTTTTGTTATTATTATTATTATTATTATTTTGCTGGCCAGTACAGGGATCAAACCCTGGACCTTGGTGTTGTCAGCATCATTCTCTTAACAGACTAAGCTAACCAGCCAGTTTTATTTCCGTTATTTATGTGACTGCTCATACCAAGAAAAACCGAAATACACAAAACTACAGTCCAAAAAAAGTTTATTTTTGGTGGGAGGGGGGAGAGGGAGGAGGGAGGGGGGTTTTGGTAATGGGCCACAATAATCAACCTCATTGTATATCGACAAAATAAAATTAAAAAAGAAAAAATATAAATATATAAATAAATAAATTTTTAAAAAAGAAACTAAAAAAAAAGTTTATTTTTAAGCAGAACAGAAATTGCTAGGAGGTGGGGGTTATGGTTGGAAGTTTAAGTTTGTCAGAGGCTTGGAAGTGGGCAGATTAGTGCTAAAGCTGGAAGGCAAATTTCTCAGGAAGAGAGAAAAGATACCACTTCAAAGCTGTAGAGGGAGGAAACAATATCTGGGAGATAGGATTAAAATGCAGTTAACTAAGAAGATTTTTCTATCATTAAAAGAGCAAGGAAGCAAGACAATTGCTTTTGGGAGGTAATAACAATTAGAGGCCTGGAATAAATTATTAAAGTATTCAAACATATTTCCTCCTTGTATCCTTATTCCTCTCAACTCCCCCACTGCCCATTCCTACCAGGAGTCAGGAGAGGCAAGGCAAGAAGTATAAATTGGAAAGAGTCTGAGTACCTGCCTAAAATCTTTTCTACTGTGAACTAACATGAATTGAGTGCTTAGCATATTCTATGTATATTATGTACATTAGCTCATTTAATCCTTAGAAAAATAAACGACATAAGCAGTAGAACTACTTATTCTAATGAAGAAATTGAGGCACAGAATGGTTAAGTCTGGTATAAGACCACAAAGCTGTTAGTGTCAGAGATGATACTCAAACCCAGGCAGTCTGATTGCTCTTCATCTCTACACTTCATTCATCTCCCACATTTAGGACCAGAGACTCAATATGCCTATTGTGCAAAAATGGAACAAGTTCCTTCTTTCTATATTGTCAGTACAAGCCAGCATGGGTGGTGCTGAGTAAGTAACTTCGGTTAAACTGGCCACTCACACATGCCCATGGGACCCAAAGCCCTAATTCTAGGCCAGTTTCATTTGAATCAGGAACAGACCAACTTGCTATTGTAAGGAAATGCAGACATTTGGAATTGAAGTATTCTGCATGCCTAGAGTCCATAGGGGGAAGGCCCTCCTTCCAGTCCTGGATATGGAGCTATGTACACAATGCTAACCACATCCAGAGTTAGAATTTTCTGTAGGCATCCTAACTTTACTAAAAGGTGAATGGGAAGCAAAACTGTTTAACACATATAAAAATCAAACCTTTTCTCACTAGATTTCACCGTAACTTTGGGCTCTATTTCCCCACCAGTAAGACAGAACTCCAAAACTCAATACCAATGGTTTACTACTACCTTTAATTGTGAAGACGGCTCAACTGTAAAGTGCTTTTTGAAAAACAATCATGTTTAAAAATTCTAAGTTTCATCACAGTGATGAAAAGAATCAACACCAATGCCTTTGGGAACCTCAACTCAACAACCCTAAGAGACCTCATCAGAGCCTTAGAAACTACTTGAGTATATGCATTCTGTATCTTTTTCTAACAACATAACCTTAACTGTCTTAACATAAACCTTAGCTGTCTGACACAGAACCAAGAGAGGTATCTTGGGTATTAACCAACCTTCCCTACCTGCTCCACCCACTCCATCCTGTAGGCTTCACTTACATTTTTTGATTGATCTGCCCCAGTCCATCCCTAAGAACTCAGCCATCAATACTTACCAGCTCTTTTTCTTAACTGCCTAAAGGTTCCTTCCCCAGTGACTGATTTCTCATCTCGCCTCACTCCAGTGTCCTCTATCGAATAGCCACCAGGGTTTTCTTCTTAAAATATGTTCTAACCAACTTTTAAATGTCACTCATTGCCTTCTAAAAAACATTTCTAAGGACTGACCAATTATCTCCATTGGGAGAGCATGGTGCTGATAACACCAAGTTCAAGGGTTCGAATCCCAAATCCTGGTACCAGACAGCTTTATTAAAAACAAACAAAAAACCAAAAAACATTCCCACTGCTCTCCACCATCAAAAGGAAAATGCCCAAATCCTATACCAGCTAAACTCACTTTAAAAAAAAAAAAAAAAGATGACCAGTAAGGGGATCCCAACCCTTGACTTGATGTTGTCAGCACCATACTCTCCCAAGCGAGCAAACCAGCCATCCCTACACAGGGATCTGAACCCGTGGCCTTGGTGCCATCAGCACCACAGTCTCCCAAGTGAGCCATAGGCCGGCCCTTAAACTCACTTTTTAAGTCTTCTTTAGTCACCAGTTTTCCCACCAACTTTTCACTAAATCATGTCATGTCCTTGTATAAACTGTTCCCATTATCACAGACATTCTTCCACCACCACCCCACATAAACTCATTCATCATGCAACAGCTCAGATCCTCTTCAATTCAGCCTTCCCAGATAAAAATTATTTTCCTCTTCTATTTTCTAATAACTTTTAACAGATAGAGCTGGAATTACTTATTTACATATCTGTTCTTCTGACAATGAGCAGGTCATTCATCTTTAAAAATTTGTAGGCTAGTACCCTGAATAGCTGCTCAATAAATGTTTAAGGGAAGAATGAATGTCCTGCCTTTTAACTAATACTTTGAACTTTCTATAAATAAACTTAAAATCATGTAGTACATACATTATTTTCAATTAACATGTTTCTAAACCAAATGTAAAAGATGTCAGTACTCTAGTGTCTTTTCCCTTTTAAACTTTTTCACATCTGTATTAATCTTTACAGTTCATTTAAGTTAAAAAAAACAAAACAAACAAAAAAAATTACAGAAATGCATATAACCATTTTAATTTTTATAACATGCTTCTGGATTTTTTCCTGTGCACATTCCATAATACCTGCATACCCACTGGTGGTGTGCTCTATCTGTAACATACTTGCTTTATTCACTTAATATATTATGGGAGCCTTTTCTTGACACAACACATAGGTCAACCTTGTTCTTTTTTAATGGCTTCACAGATCTTATTGTACTGATACACTATATAATTCATTTACTCTTTCCCCAGTGTTGGATATCAAAGCTGTTTCTTTTTCCGCCCCCTGTTATAAATGATAGTGCAACACACAACGACTGGGGCAGTGACAGCAGTAGCACCTCCTCCACTACTAGCTCCATTACTACCATCACACAATGATGACACACTTTATCACATTTAAATCCATACAGTAGTTCCATTTACTAGGCACTGTTCTTATCCCCACCATGTAGATGAACACAGTGATGTCTGGAGAGGATTAGTGACTTGCCTAAAGTAGTTACTAATCAGAAATCTGGTTTCAGAGCTTCTGCTTTTTTTTTTTTTTTTGTTTTTTGTCTTTTTCCGTGTCCGGCAACGGATCGCAACCCTCAGTGTTGCCCCCGTACCGGACCGGGGACCGGCAACGGGATTGCAACCCTCGGTGCTGCTCCTGCGCCTCGCTCAGCCGGTGAGCGGGAACCGGTCTGTATGTGGGATCCGAACCCTCGGGCGGGAGCGCTGCCGCGCTTCCCAGCGGCGCACTTATCCAGTGCGCCACCGGGCCGGCCCCTTCTGCTTTTATTTTAACCCATACAATATACTACTTCCTAAAGACATAAACATATCCCTCAAAACTTATGCTGGTGTTTTCACAGATTAAATTCTCAAAGTGGAATAGTGACTTTATCCCTGTTATACCCATGTTTTAACCACTAACTATAAATTTCACTAAAAACAGTAGACTTCAAAAATTAAATTCAGGAAAACTTTCACCAACACTGTTCTTGTATACTGTATACAATCAGAAACAAACCTCTAAATGCACAAGTTTTGGACATGAATATAAAAAGGAGAGATAGGCCTAGTATAAACAATGTAGTGACTGTTGCCTATTTTCTCACCATATTTCCAATTAAAGAATTAAATAATGTGTGTATGAAACAGAATTATACCAATAATTTTGTGAGCAGTCAAATTTATACCAAAATATGTATGCTAAACAGAAAAGAACATTTTATATATTCACATATCTTTCACTTAACACTCTGTGAGTACAAATACAATGTCATGTGGAAAGGGATGGCCAAATAGGATGCTTGCTTTATATTGAAAAAAAGCTGCTGATCAAAGGCAAGGAATACATTTAAAAAGATAACCTTTTAGCTTTGCACCACATGGAATCTTCAGTAACAGAATTAAGAGAAAAAACAAGAAGAAACAATTCTTCAAGCTTAAATGTGAATAAAATATAAACAATGTAGATCCAGATTTTATTCACACACAAAAAAATGTTCAGTCAAGTGGAGCCTTAGAAGAAATTCAGTGACTTGATTCTTAATGCAGGATTCCACGTCATCTTGTTAAACTAAGCTAACTGCTGAATA